TGGATTGCGTGAAGAGGAGAACCATGCCTACCATTTAGTCACAGGCAGGGGAGATTCAATTCTTCCTCTAACAACTCCATAAAAACAAACAGGCCTACGACCTAGACGCACCTTCCTAGAGGAGCTCAGTTCAGCCTTGCTCACACTCTAGAAATGAGCACAAACACTTCTACAGGGTCACAGGATGTGACAGGTTTTTGTTGTTGGAGATGATACTGGTGGGATGGCAATGACTCAGCGTGGTGGCTGTGACAGGAAAGGCTGATGGGAAACGGGTCTTTTGCTGGTCAGAGCTGGAAAAGCCCTCAGAGCTCCTCAACGTACAAAGCGGGGATGTGGGCTTCAGATGAGGGGAAGCAGTTTCCCCCGGGCAAGTGGTGCCATGTGGCGCGAGCGCCAACAATCATGTCGTCCTTTTAGAAGTCACATTCAAATTGCCAGGTACTGGCATAATATTTTGCTGTTTCTCATTTGTTCAGCACGGTTGCATCGCGAGGGAGGGAGGGAGGGTGTGGTTTATTATCTCCACTTACAGATTACAGTGCTGAGGTTTGGCGAAGTCACACGGAAAGCCCGAAGGAGATTCAAAACTCGAATGGAAGCTCCCTAGCCCTCCTTTGACACTCAGTTTCTCGGAGTTATAGTTGCAGCTGCTCGTTTGCATAGTCATTACGCTTTTGAGAGTCACTTGAGCCAGGCTCGGCTTTACTTCTGTCCTTTGGCCTCTCGGTTTCTCAGGTTGCTCAGGGCTGCCCCAGCCAGAGGGCCTGCGGGAAGAGGGTGGACTGCGGCTCAGCCACCAGCAGCCCGCAACCCTGCGCCCACAGTTCCCGAAAAATGCAGCATCTTTTCCTTCGGTGCGCAGTGCCAGGTACAAACAGTAGCGGGCACTCTGTACATACTTACTTCTCTCGAAATCTCTTCTTTGGAATTTGTATGTTTTTACTCACTCAACTGAGCTTCTCCTGCACACATTTTAAAAATCTGATATACCTTTTAAGTCTCATTTCATGCATAGATTGCCCCTCTGTCCTGTTACTCTTCTTTTTCTTTTTTTCCTTCATTTTTTTCCTTTTCTCTGCCCGTGGTACCAGGAATGGAACTCAATGAGTATTGAGCTATGCCTCCAGCTCTTTCTTAAAATTTTTATTTTGAGACAGGGTCTCACTCAGTTTCCCAGGCTGGCTGCTTGGAATTAGTAATTCGCCAACTCCAGTCTCCTAATAGCTGGGATTGTAGGAATGTACCACCATGCCCAGCTCTTCTTTTTTATTTATTACTATCATCATGCTTAGCAGCAGCAGCAGCAGCTTTTTTGAGACAGGTTCTCGCTGTATTGTTCAGGTTTGCCTAGTACTCATCATGTAGCCCAGGCTGGCCTTGAACTCACATGAGCCTCCCGCCTCAGCCTCCCAAGTGCTGGGATTACAAGCATGTGCCATCATACCTGGCTTCTTTTTAAAAATAAGTTTAACTGTGCATATTTACAACATAATATTTTATAGCAATAAAATAGTTACCATAGTGAGGTATGTTACTCTACTGTCTAACATAATTACTTCTTTGTGATAAGAAAAACTAAAATCTACTTATTTAACAAAAATCTTTAATACGGTAAAACTGTTAAATTACAGGCCGCATGTTGTACATTAGATCTCTAGGCTTGTTCATTCTGACCTACATCTCTCCATTTCCTTGTAAGCCGCGCCCTTGATAACCACTCTCATTATCTCTGTCTATTTGACTTTTTTTAATTATTTAATTTTTTTTCTTTTATCTTCTTTGAGACAAGGTCTCACTATGCAGTTCAAGCTGGCCTTGAGCTCACTTTGTAGCCCAGGCTCATCTCAAACTCGCAGCGATCCTCCTGCCTCAGCCTCCCGAGCGCTGGGATTACAGGCGTGTGCCACCACGTCTGACCTTGACTTTTTTTTTTTAAAGATCCCAAATTAAGTGAGATCATGCAATATTTTTTTTTCTTTTTGGGTCTGGCTTATTTTACCTCCAGGTCTGTCCAGGTTGCAGAAAGTATGGGGATTTCCTTCCTTTTGAAAGTTCATTGATGGTATTCCATTGTGCATGTTCACCCCATTGTCATTATCCATTTATGAGCTGAGGAATACTTAGCTTGATTACATACCTTGGCTATCGTGAATAACACTGGACAGAAAATGAGAGTGCAGATGTCTCTTCCACATACTGATTTCATTTGCTTTGTTTTTAATTTTTTAGTTTTTATTAGTCAGTGTTTGCAACACATAATCATCATATTCCTCATGTGGAGTCAGTACATGGACATGACACATTTTTGTGCTTTTTTCATCCTTTTCTCCTCCTCCTTCCATCTCTTGATCCTCTTCCTATTTGCAAAAGATCTATATTCCTGTTTCCTATTATCTGTCTTTTATTTTGCTCTTTATTTATGACTTGGGTTTCTCATATAACAGAAACCATATAATATTGAAGCTTTTGTGTCTAATTTACTTCACTTAGCATTGTGGTCTCAAGGTGCATCCATTTTCCTACAAATGATTCAAGTTTATCCTCCTTTATGGCAGAGTAGTAGTCCATTGCATAAATAGACTATATTTTCTTCATCCATTCATCTATTGTTGGACATATAGATCTCTTGCTTTGGGTGTATATCCAGAAGAGGGATGGCTGGGTCATATGGCAGTTCTGTTAGTTTTTTGAGAAATTTTCATGCTATTTTCCAGAGTGGTTGCATCAATTCACATTCCTACCAGCAGTGCACAAGAGCTCCCTCTTCCCCGTACCCTCTCCAACACTTGTTCTCTCTTGTTTCTTTGATAACAGCCATCCTCTGGGGTGAGATGATATCTTACTGTGGTTTTAATTTGCATTTCCTCGATGATTAGTGATATTGAGCATTTTGCTATTACCTGTTAGCCGTTTGTGTGTCTTATTTGTAGAAATTTCTTTCAGATCTTTTATGTGCTTTTATTTTGAGACAGGATCATAATACATAGCTTGGGCTGGCCTTAAACTTACCCAGTTGCCCAGGCTGGGCTCAAACTTGTAATCCTCCTGCCTCAGGCATGTGCCACTATGCTCAACTAGCTCTTTCATCTATTTTATTTGATTGTTCTGCACTTCAGTTGTAAGAGTTCCTTATAAATTTTAGCTATATGTGGTTTGCAAGTATTTTTTGTAGTCATAGTTTGCTGTTTCATTTTGTATCTTGTGCAGAAGCTTTGTGTGATATTTATCCATTGAAAAACCTGGGCCTTTGACCTTCTTAGTAAAGAGTACCAAGGACACGTTGTCTCTGCTTTTGCATGATCATAGCTCTTAAGTAGAGAGTTAAACCCTAAGGAGGACGGTGCTGGTGATTTTGCGTGATTTAGCATCAAGGCCGAGTGCCATCCTATTCAAGTTATCATGTGACTCTTCTTTTTTTTCCTTCTGCCCTCCCTTGCGCATGCCCTGCAGCCCCACTGAGTTACTTACTCAGGGCGCTGTGCACTTGCTGACCTGGTACCTTGTGCGTGCTCCTTTCTCTGCCCTGCTTCAGTCCCAGCTTAGCCACACCGTTCCTGGAAGCCTCCCTAGACCACTGATCTGGCAGAGGTGTCTTCCTTGTGTGTTCCCTTAGCATCTTGGTTTTCTCTTATCATAGCACTCATCTCACTGACTTCAATTGTCTGTTTATCCACCTGCCCACTTCCCCTGCTACCCAAAAGACGGAGTGGCAGGGCCTGTGACTTGCACAACTTGTCTCCCCAGCAGCTGCACAGTATCCAGCATATCAGTGGGCTCTAAAACAGATCACTGTTGACTGAATGAAACACATACTTATATGTACCATTCTCCTGGCAGTAAGAGCAGTTAACATGAAACTTGTTTCTGGGCTCGGTTCGAGTTCCTCTTTGGAACCATTTTTTGGGAAGTTCAACAAAGTTCCTCTTCACATTTCCCCACCAAAGTGGCCTTTGGAAAGTTTGAGGTACCCCAGGATCACCATAGAAGCCTTTCTCCACAGAAGCCTTCTCCATAGAAGCCTTCTCCACATGCATGCCATTCTCCACTCCTGTCCAGTGCCATGATTCTGCAACAGGAATTTGTGAAGTCGATCGTTTCTCTCTCTTTCCTAGGTCATCCTCATGAACATACAAGCGTGCTGTTATTTCTTCTGTCTTAGAAACAGGAATTTAAGCATACTTCCTGTCGGTCTCCTGAGGGCCAGGCCTTTCTCAGAGCTATGTATATGCAACAAAGCCAGGGCTCCCCTGCCTCAGCACACCAGGGAGGCTACCCTCCTGTGTGCTGCATGTTGCCAAAGCCCTTTCTGAGGCATGCTTTGGGTGTTTTGTGACAACTGGCCTTTGCTTTTGCTTTTTCAGCACTTCTTTGGATTCTCTACTGCCTCAGATCTCATGCTGTCTGAGCAGGAAAGAAGCCAAGGGCACTCCAAATGGTGGCTTTTCCCTTTCCTCTGGCCCTGGCGCAGAGCTGGTGAGCTTACAAAAGTGTCAGGCATAAATGAAGCTAGAGATACAAAAGACTTCCTGTTCCATTGGTCACCATACCTCCTGACAGAAGCCTATACTTCCTGCTGTCACACATACCACTGTACAGGAGAGCAAACCACAGTTATAAATCTCTCCACTTGCACTTACCAGCCACGACCCTGAGAGTCTCTGATGGCAGAAAGCCCTGCTGTCAACCTGTCACCACAGCAGAAAGTAAAGACATGTTGTCCATGAGGACTGGCCCAGTGGCCTGCATCGAGCAAGGAGTACCTACATTCACAAAGACAGGGTGTGAGTCCCATCTCTAGGCTCCCCAGCAGTGAGCCATCCTTCAAATCGTATAATAAAGCAGATTTAGATGGTACACTTGTCCTTTCACACAAAGTGTCTTATTAGAATGGTTGAGTCACTTCTTTCCTGCTATCACTGTGACCACATAGGTTCTTGGCAAAGCCTCAGAAACAAGAGCAGTTAGTCCAGTAACTCCTTGTTGAATTGTTTCTGTAGGCCTGGCGCAAGCGCTGGTTTGTCCTGCGCCGGGGCCGCATGAGTGGCAACCCTGATGTTTTGGAGTACTACCGGAACAAGCACTCCAGCAAGCCTATTCGCGTGATAGACCTCAGCGAGTGTGCCGTGTGGAAGCACGCGGGCCCTGGCTTCGTTCGGAAGGAGTTCCAGAACAATTTTGTGTTTATTGTCAAGACCACTTCCCGTACATTCTACCTAGTGGCCAAAACTGAGGAAGAAATGCAGGTGTGGGTGCGCAGCATCAGTCAGGTCTGCAACCTGGGCCACCTGGAAGATGGTGCAGGTAAGAACCACTGCAGAAAAATGGGAAAGAGGGCAAGCCTACCACCTTGAGGATATCCGGGCCCGCTAATTTCTATCATAGCTGTTTCTGCCAAATACACTAGAGCACTAGAAATGGCCCTCTTTCACCTGATTCTAGGATTCCTGTCCAAACCTACAAGATAGGATAACACAGCACTGCAGGTTTCTGCAGGAGAAATAAGCACCGTATTTTCTCTGAGCCATTATTTCTGGGCAATGGGAGCAACTGACCCAGGAGGAGGCACATTCTCTTTCTTTCTCTCTCTCTCTGTGTCTCTGTTTCTGTCTGTCTGTCTGTCTGTCTCTCTCTCTCTCTCTCTCTCACACACACACACACATACACACACCCCTTCTCATCTAATGTAATACACCAGGTATAGCAGAACCTTGGGGTTACAACTTACTTCCCTTCATAGATTTTGTTGTTAAGTATCGGCACTATTACAACATGCTTGCATTCTCGAAATATGGGGTTTTGCATGTAGTTTCTTTTGGCTTCTTATTCTAGTAGAAAGGAAAAATCTTACCTCTAAATCCTGTACTTTACAGTCAATAGTTACTATATGTTTTTCTCCATCTGCCCCGGAATACCCGTGTGTAACACTAGGTGGTGATGTACACCCACAGTTGCATCTCTCCGATGGTCACAGTGCGCTTCCTGATGACAAAATTGCTTTCTTTTCATGATCCAGGGAAGCTTATTAAGTGAGGCTATTCAGCAACACTGCTGAGCTTTGAGAGCACTCAAATAAAGGGAAATGACGTGATCTCAAATCCTTTTATCCTTGGTACAACAGATGAAGCTGACTTTCGATGTCACAGTAAGCCTATCCTGGCTAGAGTCTGATAAGCCAAACCCGGCCTCCCTGACCAACTCCTCTCACTCTGCTGCTGGCTCTTCACAGCCTGTTCTCTGCCTTCAGCCCAAAGAGATATATATTTGTGCATTCTGTTATGTGTGTCTTCTGTCTCTCGTCATCCAAGGGTTATCCCAAAACATATATACCCCAGGTATATGTAATAATCCAAGAGGAACAAGACTGAATAAGGCATCAGGTAAAACCAGAAAGCCCTACTCTGGCATGAAGTTGGAGGGAGCCAGGAAACTCCCCTACAGCCCTCTCATCCAGTTTTCAGGAGACTATATGGGCCAAGTCTCCTTCATGGGAGAACAACATTGGAATGGCTTTCTGTGTCTTTCCACTTATAGTAGTCCCCCTTTAGTTACAGGGAATACGTTCCCAAGGCCAATAGTGAGTACCTGAAACCTCAGATAGTATCAAATTCTACATAAAATGGTGCGTGGGGATGTTTAGATAAAATTGTATTACAGTAAAGGAGAAATTCCATGAATACCCTCAGAAGACTCCCTCACACCAAACACACTTATCCCATCATGCTGGCCACTTTCTGAAGCAGTTCTGCAGTCTTCTTTCTTGAGTGTCTTTATGAAGTGTGATAAAAAAATAAACTGAACACTCCTGCTGAGTGTCATTTAACAGAAAGGCAGGCTCATAAAAACATCATGGTGTGTTCTTCACCTTCTTCACCAGATCTGGCACTGTACAACTTCTGGCTCTTCCCAAAGTCAAAATGACCATGAATGGTAAAAATTTTGAATTGGTTCAGGATATCAAGGCAACCACCACACAACAACTGAAGACACTCATGAAAGAGGATTTCCAGAACTTCTTCAGAAAGTGGCAGAAATGATGTGTGTTTAAAGGGGGAGAGGATTTTGAGGGGAATTCATTGCATTGTGTCTTTGACTGTAATAAATTTTGAGAATGTAAGCATATTCTAGATTTTAATCACATCTCATATGTATCAGTGTGTACACACATCTGTGCATAAGTGCATTGTACATATATACATACAGACTTGTTATGCAGAAGCACATATGTGTACATGTGTGTATATTTATTGAGTGAATAAACACTGATGCAAGGCTGGTGCAGAGAGCCATAAAAAAACTGTGTGTAGACTAACTGCATATTTTTAGGCCAAGAATTTTTTTTTTACTCTTAATTGATTCAACACTTCACTGTTGGAACATTGGCCTTTTTTCCCAGACATTGTTTATGGCTTGGGGAAATTGTCTCTTCCATCAGTACAAACACCAGCTGTGATTTGCATCTTCTATTTGGCTTCTTCGATGCTGTTTGAGAAATTCTGAGTGAGTGCTATAGCCATTCTGAAAACACTAACCTGGGAAATGCTTTCTCCAGCAGATTCCACAGAGAGCCTCACTCACACACCCTCCTCCCTCCAGCCGTCCCCTGCCAGCTCCCTTCATACCGCCCGTGCTGGGAGCTCCTCCTTGCCAGGAGATGACCCAAACGCTAATGCAGCGGCCGCTGAGGAAACCAGGAGTGAGTCAGAGTTTCTCTTCCTTCCTGATTATCTGGTTCTGTCCAACTGCAAGACTGGAAGACTGCAGCACACCAGGTATGATTGTGCTGGGGACTCTGTCTGAACTGGGTCTCCTAGCAGGACTCCTCTGTTCACCGCAGCTTCACTGCCTCCTCCTGTGGCATCTGTCTCTGAGATGTGCTCACGGTGCCTGAGCAAATCACCCTTTTTAGTGGGGATACTTTCTAATGGGTGTGTCCTCATCTACTGCCACTGCCAAATGGGGACAGATCACTGCCAACCACTATGAAAGACGAAGCATTACACTAAACAGAATGAATCCTGTATTTCAGAATTGTGGCTTTCATTTCTAATCTTGCCTTTTCATGTATGTATCTAATGTTTAGAGGATGAAAAACAATCTGTAAGTCATTTTTTCCTACACAAAGGAACTCATATAACTGAGGGTTGCAGCGGGAATGTGGCTGTGCAAGTAGAACCAAAGGTGGTGTTGGAAGGGTGGGAATGAGGCCAGTATGGGTTTTGTGGTGGATGGATGACTACGTTTCAGCAAAACTTACATGCTTTTCTTCCCTTGGTCTTCTCACCAGGTGTGATAGCTGGTCAAACTCAGACCGCTCATTAGAACAGACTTCATTCGATGATGTTTTTGTGGACGGCCTCCAGCCACTCCCGTCCAGTAACTTGGTCCACCCCTCACGCTACGGGAATGGATTTCAGGAGGTGCCTTCCACAAGACCCCAGGCTGCTCTGATCTGGAATAGAGAAGTCAATGGGCCATTCAGGGACCACTTGTCTTCATCATTGCTGGAAACACCCATAAATTCCACCATTCAGGCAGATAAAAACCAAGTTTCTCTGCCCTGTAGGGCAAAAGAACAAGCCACGGTGTGCAACACTCCGCCACCCCGCCCTCCTAAGCCAAGCCATCTCTCTGAACGGCGCCCAGGGGGACAGCTCTCGTGGAGTGGGCACAACAGCAGCAAGAAGCCAGAATGCACCCTGGTACCCAGGAGAACCTCTCTGTCTGGTTTGGACCACATTAGGGCCTGGAAAGGTAAGTGTCAAGTGCTGGGATTCTAGCACTGAGAGAAACTTGGCCAGGACCTCCCCGCCTGGCTCCTCTTCATGCCTGTGTCAACATGAGGACTTTGTTCAGTGTTCCTTGTTCAAGCAGTGCAGTCTCCTGATGGGGCTGTGACCCTGCAGGAAGTACATAGCCGGAAGGTGACACTTGCCTGCTTCTGGGCGGCCCTACCCTCCCTTGAGCCTGGTTACTGGGGGAAATACTCAGCTTGCTGTCCATGGTACGAAAAGCTGGAACCCTGGTTCCTTGCGATGGGCTACCCTGTGTATGTCCTTGCCCACATAGTGGGCCCCTCGTCTGACTCTGAGCTGCTAATGTTGGTTGAGTCACTAGAGGACACACCTGACTCAGAATGCTGCCTGTGGCGTCAGCTCAGCCCCACTCCCTTCCTAGCTTCTCCTGTGCATAGGCTCCAGCTCCTTCTGTTTCTCAGCAGTCCCACCAGCCGCACTTTTCCTCCCACTTGGCATGTTCTTTCCAGATCCTGGCTGTGCACTAGTAATGTGGCTTTTTATCAAGTTTCCGCCATCAGGGTGATTCTGACCCAGCTTTGTCTCTGGCACACACCCTCCCGGAGCCCTCTTTTGCCCTTTCTGTAAAGCCATTTATCTTTGTGAGGTTGACTTGAAATTTCGAGTACATTCCATCTCCTCCACCCCTTTGCTCCCACCCAGGTCTCTGTGGCCTTCAGAAGCTGCCTGTTGCAAGTGCACGCGAGCAGCCTCAGTGTGGTTTTTGGGCAATTTCTTCCTCACTGCTTCTCCAGGTCTCTGCCTTTCTGCCGTTTTTATGACAGCCTGTTTCAGAAAGACAGACACAAAAGCAAAGTCTCTCTTTTTCTCTCTCTCTTTCTTGAGCTATATAAATATAATCACCTGCACACCACCACCTACTAAAGCCATGTTTTAAAGGAATTATGGAAAGTGTAAGACATGCAAATTAATTTTCAGATCTCTCATTCTGACTGAAGAAATAAGTCCCACTGGCAAAGGCCTCCCCCAAGGTTCCCAGTGATGTGACTATTACACATTTTGCTTCCTTCTGACAACCCCAGTAAAATAATAGAGTAAGAAAGAGAGGGAATCCAAAGTCTCTGATTTGAGAACAAAGTATTGAAGTAACTTGAAATTGGAAGACAGACCCAAATCAGCCCGGTTGTGTTCTTTTACATGAAGCCGAACAAAGCTTAAAACGAATTAGGTTGGGACCACAAAACAAAGAGCAAAACAAGAGGGGTGACCAGAAGCCAAATGGGTCTGGTAAAGCCGACGGAGCAGGGGAAGCTTATTGCTCCCCCTTCCCCACTGACCCGGGATGGGGTCTGTGCGTGGTGGCAGAGTGGGGGCAAGGGTCACTTCTGTCCGTGACCCAGCACCCTGCCGTGGAGAGGCCACCCCATCCCGGTGGCTCTGCAGTGGCCCCTCGGTCACAAATGAAAGTGCCCTCCCACGTCAGGGTCTGAGTCTGGATTCTGCTTCCTGTCTACACTGGGCAGAGCTTAAACCTGTACCACGCTCTCTTGATTACTGTGTTGTCTGTACTCATAGCCAGTGGAGGAAACCCTCTCAGCTGTTCTTCAGCAACGCCTTGCCTATTTAGAGTCAATTTTAGAGTCAGTTGCTCAGGTTCCAGATACACATATTCAGTATGTTGGTGATTTGAGCAGTATTGCACCGTATGTGTAGATCAGTATGTGAAGGTTTGACATCTCTACAATATTGAGTTTTCCAACCAGTGAACAATAGGTAGGTAGAAATATCCTACCATTTATATAGCTATTTTAAAAAAAATTAACAAGTAAAGATTATGTATATTTAAGGTATATAATGTGATGATTTGATGTGTGTATACGTTGTGCAACGATTATCACAATCAGATTCATTAGCACGTTCATCACCATGCCTTCTATATGTTAGACTCCTAGAACTTGCTCAGCTTACACACCTTCAGCAACATCTCCCTATTTCCTCACGCCCTGCCCCCACCCCCGGGCAACTGCCATGCTACAAGTTTGACATTTTAGACTTCATAAATAAGTGGGCAATGCAATATTTAATCTTTAGTGCATTTCTTTCACTTTTTATAATGTTCTTCAGGCTAGCCTTATGTTGTTTCAAATTATAGAATTTCCCTTTTTGGTGGTGCTGTGGATTGAACTCAGAATCTTGTGCATGCTAAGCAATTGCTCTACCACTGAGCCACACCCACAGCCTAGGAATTCCCTTGTTTCATGGCTGAATAATATTCCATTGTGTGTATCTCTGTACATGCATCAATATAGATAAAGATGGAAATTGTACATATGCAATTGCGTGCAAGTGTACGTGTGTATATATACACCACGTTTTCTTTACCGATCCAACTGGCAATGGACACCTTGCTTGATTCCACATCTTGGCTACTGTGAATAGTGCTGCCTTTTTGACACTGATTTCATTTCCTTTGGATATATACTCAGGACTGGGATTGCTAGATCATATGGTAATTCTATTTTTAATGTTTTGAGGAAACCTCATGCTGTTTTTCATAATGACTTAAGAATTTACATTCCCACCAATAGTGTGTGAGGGTTTCCTTTCCTCCACAACCTGATCAGCACCTGTTGTCTTTAGCCTTTTTGATATTAGCTATCCTTAGTGGGGTGAAGTGATATCTCATTGTGATTTTGATTTGAATTTTGCTGATGATGAGTGATGTTGAATATTTTATAATATATTGGCCAGTCATTTGTATATTTTCTTTTTGGGAATATCAACTTAGGTCCATCTTTTGTTATTGAGAGATTTTTCCTTATATATATTCTGGATATTAACACCTCATCATATATATGGCTTGCAAATGTTTTCTCCCACTCTTCAGTTTCCTTTTTTACTCTGTTGTTTCCTTTGCTGTGCAGATGCTATTTATTTTGATGTAGCCGCACTTACCTATTTTTGTTGTTTTCATCTGTGCTTTTGGTATGGAATACAGAGTATTCTTGCCAAGGTCAAAGACCCAACGACCCTTTCCCCCTATATTTTATGATCCCCTAGGAGTTTTATGATCCAAGAGCTCACATATAAGAAGTGTTTAATCGAGCGACTACTCTGGGAGCTGCAGGGCTCGTGGGTTCGAGTCTGTGCTCAACCCACACCACCAGGATTCCCAGCTGAAACACGTGGAGAGAGCCAGGTATTTCCCATCTAATCCCTGAGGGCAGAACATGTGAACAAGAACCCCACGGACATCACAGACTGAGTCACTGTGGAGGCAGAGAGGAGGTCTGGACTGAGAGGCCCAGGGGACTTCTCTGGCTGGGGGCTGGGCGAGCAGGCTCTCTGAGCCCCACGCGCCCTGCGCCGAGAGAGAAAGTACTCCAGGAGCTGCAGGGCCAGTGGATTCAAGTCTGTGCTTTGCCTTCGCCCAGACCCTCCAGTGAGGCGAAGCCTGGGGAAGTCTGTGACTGTTACCCATCTGGGCTGAATCTGGTTCCTGTATGAGTCCTGAACTGAGTGGAGACATAGATTTAGGTGATTCACAAACTGT